AGGAGCAAGTGCAAAACTTACTTGAACAAATAATAAAGGAGAACTTCTCCAATCTGACAAAGGAAATACACTTCGAGGAAATCCAGGAAGCTCAGAGAGTCCCAAAGAAGTTGGACCCAAGAAGGAACACACCAAGGCACACCATAATTATATTAGCCAAGATTAAAATGAAGGAGAGAATCCTAGAAGGAGCAAGAATTAAGGGGACAGACAGTCACCTAAAACGGAGTTCCCATCAGCTGATTTCTCAAAAGAGAACTTACAGGCAAGAAGGGGCTGAAAAGAAGTATTCCAAGTCATGAAATCCAGAGACCTACTACAACCAAGATTGCTCTATCCAGCAAAGCTTTAATTTAGAATGGAAGGACAGATAAAGTGCTTCTACGATAAGGTCAAATTCAAGGAGTTCATCATCACCAAGCCCTTATTATATGAAATGTTAAAGGGATTTATCTAAGAAAAAGAAGATAAAAAAGATGAACAGTGAAAGGACAGCAAACTCGCAGTTATTAACAACCACACCTAAAACAAAAGCAAACTAGGAGGATAGCTGGATCAGGAGCGAACCATAGAAATGAAGATCACATGGGGGTTAGCAACAGGGGAGTAGGAGGAGGAGAAGGAGGGAGAAGGTACAGAAAATAAGTAACATAGACGGTAGGTAGAAAATAGATAGGGGGAGGGCAAGAATAGTAGGGGAAATATAGAATCTAAAGAACTTGAGACACCTGGTCATAAACTAAAGGGGGGAATGGTGGGGGAGGGGTGTGAAGGGTGGAGGGGAATGAAGGGGGGAAATAGAACAACTGTAATGGCATAATCTATAAAATATATTTTTTAAAAAAGAAGACCTGGCACCACCAAAAACTAAACAATGTGAACAGAGGCGGGAGTGGCTACTATGGATGGAATGGAACTTGGGAGACATGGCTATGCTATGAGGAGGGAGGGCTGGTACTTGTAAGGATCCTGCTCTATGGAAACCTGCTCATAAAAAGACGTTTTTGAGACAATAAGGGACATGTGAAAGTGAATACAGTAACATTAAAGAATGTTAATACCACCATATAATCAGATATGATTATGCTGGCATTGTGGTTGTTGTCTTCAATAAGAGAAAAAAGGAAGGGAACCCTTATCTGTTAGTGATACAAATCTCCACTGGCAAGGATGAGCTAGAGATGACAGGTCTTGGTTTGTCTTTGTGAGCCCTGAGGAAAAAAAGGACAAATACCAAGAAGGGTTCCTGGTGGCTAACTTTGCTAAATTTTTAAAAACAAAGCCCAGTAGCTGTTTCTGCATGAGGAGTCTCTCACACAAAATGCACTTCACAGAGAAGCCCATGTTAAACTGCTGACCTCTCTGTGAAACTACCTACCTCTGCACAGAACTGCCCTCTCCAGTGTTAAACTGCCTGCACTGTGTTCCTGCAACTGAGCCAGTGGCCCTTATAAAGTTTTCCTGGAATCCTATTTCAACCAGTAGGATTGAGGCTTTCCCCATCCAATCACAGTCATTCAGCTCTGACCAATCAGAGTGGCTCTATTTTAACCAATTAGAACAGTGCCTTAGAGACCAATCAACTGCAAGGATGCGTATGTCCATATCAGCCAGCTCCCCATTGGCTAGGAGAGCATATTTCCCCTACCCATCGGGTAAGAAAGACTTGTGTCTCTCTGGCTGAGCTAAAATAGCCCAGAGCGGAATGAAGCAGACTATCAAGGAGCAGAGAAAAGCTGTCTAGCAGGAGAGGTGCGTGGCCCCAGAGCTGTTCTACAGCCGTGCTGTTCTCAGAGCTGTGCTGTGTCCCTATTGAGCTTTTTGCACTAAATACAGTTTCCGTCTTCACTGCACCTTAAATTGGGGATTCCTGTTGGCATTGAATTGGCGCAAATGACCATAGGTTGACACTTTAAAATGCTAAAAAATAAAAATGTGGGAAGGAAACAAATGAAAAAATACGGATTGATAATTGTTAAAGCTGGATTGCGCTTACGTAAAAGTTCGTTAAATAATTTGGGGCGAGGGGCGGTCAGACAATTACCAGGAAGTGCAATAGAGCAGACGAGCACATGGGAATGGCCTGGGAGGAGCACTGAACCCGCCTCCGAGCTCCAGGGAGGATGCAGAGGGAGTGAGGTATGATTGGGTGGGCTGGCGAGGCACACGGGGGCAGAAAGAGCGTTCCAGGCTGGAAAAAGCCCCTGAGCTTAGGCACGGGGCCTCCACGGGTTTTTATGAGGGTAACCAGTTCATCCAAACCTGCTTCGAACTGGCCTGGTCCTGACACTGAAAGTCCTGTGTCACATCCCAGGAAACCCATCAGTCCTGGCGCAGCCTGTGTGGTTGGTCACCCTGTAGCACCACCAAAGCAACGGGCTAGCTGGTAAGGGGAGCAGAGCTGAGCTGGAGCGGCTGTGGCACTCAGATTAAGAGCCAAGGACCACCCCCAGGTTGTCCTCATGCTTGCTTGCTGGCTTCCAGGCCACCACTGCAACAGCAGCCCTTCCTCCCAGGACATTTAGCGTCACTGCCCAGGGACCCAGCTGGCTCCTCACGCCTCCTGCTCAGTGCGGCCCAGGAAGGGGCCTAGAGACACCACTGCTTCTACCCCAGACACTTTCTCCCGGATCCCAACCCCCTAATTTGCATGTATACTTGTATATGTCCATAGAAACATACATGTAAGCATATGTAAATGCTTATCATATACATGCATACATTATATATATATAGTTGTCCCTCAGTAACCTGGGGGGATTGGCTCCAGGACCCACCACAGATACAAAAAGTCTCAAATGCTCCAGTCCTTTATATAAAATCGTGTTGTGTTTACATATAACCTATGCACATTTTCCTGTGTACTTTAAACCCTCTCTAGACTACTTACAATATCTAATGTGATGGAAATGCTACATGAATGTTGTTAAACTGTATTGTTTAGGGAGTGATGACAAGGAAAAAAATCCATCCGTGTTCAGCACAGGTGCAACCGTCTACAACCATCATAGGCCTAACACCACATAGTACGTGTTAGCAACAACGTACCTTTCTTAAAAAATGTTTTTCATCTGTGGTTAGATGAATTCACAAATACAGAAAGTGTGTATGAAGGACCAAGTGTATATACCGTACTATGTAATATGTAGTATATACACACTATATATTGTATATCTAATATATCACACATGTGTGATGTATTACATAATATATTACATAATATATGTTACATATATTCATGAAGCACTTGCTATGTGCACTTTATTATTCAATCCTCATAAAAACAATGATCACATCTGCTTAATAAAATGAAGAAGTTGAGGATCAGAGAAGTTAATTTGTTTAAAGCCAAATATGAGGAGAGCAGTACACCTCACACACCTACCTCCCAGAGTTCTCTGGGGAATGAACGAAGTGTTATGCTCATAAAGTGCTTAGTCCAGGGCCCACACTGGAGGAACGGCTACGTAAGGGTTTGTCTTACTGACGATTATTTCTGCACCACACTGCCACACCCTGAAGAGAGCAGGGAAAGTGCAAGGAAGTCTAAACCAAGGAAAAAATAAATGATCTGATTATTTGCATTGCAGTAGACTTCACCCCAGGGTCCCTTCACAAGCCAGCCCGTTTGGTTTAACTAACTGATAGACGATAGAGGTGAAGGCAGAGGCACCCACAGCAGAGCAAGCAATACCTTCCAAAGCCTCCAGCCACATTCTCTGGACCCAAATCCACCAAGCAGAGGACGCACAGCTCTCACAGAGGGGGGCAGAGGGAAAGCCACTCAGCTTGGCCTCTCATGGCAGCACCACGGACAGGCCAGACCTGTTAGCTGCCTGTTTCCCTAGCCATTTATCACACATCAGCCTCTGCAGGGCCACCCCAGTCTGGAAGTTTCCTGTTTGTTTCACAAGTACAGAAATCAAGATGCCAGAGATGGGAGAAACGCCCTCCTTCCTTGGCCCCGGGGTCCCTGGATCACTCCCGGGAGAGCCGCCCCTGTGGACTGCAGAGGAGGCCCCAGGTATGTGACCAGCAACCAGGACCACCCTCACCCCCTGGCTCACAACCAGTGAAAAGCCCCAGGGTCTCCCTTTCTCAAGTCAAGGTGGAGAAGGGCAGGGCCAGCTTGGCTTTCAGGATCTTGGGCAACTTTGTTGGCATCTGGAGAATGGGCCACTCAGTGCCTCACACCCAGCTTCCATGAGCACAGTTTGATACCTGTTCATGGAGATGGAAACCCCTTTCCCACCAGTGCAACGGTTTTTATTATTCTCTTATCACCATCATATGAAAAATGACAGGGCCATCATCAGGATAGAAGTGAGAAGCAAGGCTGAGCACACAGCTTTGCCCCCAATTCAGAGCTGTCTGGGCCTGGTGGGGAGTAGGGACCTTCATGCTTACCTTACCTTCCACTGTGGGCTTCTGGTATTTTGCCACATGGGGCGCCCACTTACAGGCCTGGGGTAGTTCTCAGAGGTTGCCGTTTTTGGAACCAGGGAACCGTTTTTGCACTGGGCCTCTCCAACAACCAGAGTAAAGTTCCCAGCTCTCATGGTCAAGGCCTGTAGTAGGCAGAGCTAGCATAGCCTCTGAGTAACCCACACTTCATCAGCCCATCCCCACCATCCTCTCCTTCACACACCCCACCAACCCAGAGACTCCAGGTCTCCCAGGTCCCGAGCCCAGGTCAGGAAAAGCAGCCCTGCCCAGGCATTGGCCTAATGCACATTCCACCAAAACTCAAAGGCAGACTGCAGAGAAGCTTCATTAATTTTTAATAATATTCATCTAACAGTGGCCAAACAGAGCTAAGGCGAAGCCACATTCCTAGTGCTTGTGCCAGCAGCCTGCAAAGGGTTAACCCATTAGCCCACATCCTGGTGAGCTCATCCCTACTGGAGCCTGCTCAGTGGCTGGGATTCTCAGCACACCGGACTCCAGGACTCTGGCTGGGATGAAGAACTTGGGCACACAGTCATTGCTGGTCTCCTCCCCACGCAGGCCGTGTGACTCCCAGGTCCCCCACTCTCCCCCAGGACCATAGCACAGTAAGTAAGAGGGGATTTGTCCCCTCTGCCCTTCCTTCCATCTCCCTGGAGTAACAAGCTGGTTTTAACTTTGTTTTGAGTGTGCTGTCTTTGAACCAGAGTTGGAAGGCAAAGTGAATGACAGGCAAGGGAGAGGGGGTTGCGCCTTGGGAGGGGGAGAACCAGCAGCCTTCAGGCAGGAGGAGACTGCTCAGTGACAACCCTGGCAGAGAGTGGTGGCAGGGGAGGCAGGACTGCCCCTACTCTGCCCCTGGAAACGAGCTTCCAGCCTTCACCCTTGGCAGTCACTGGGAGCAAGGGCTGGGCCTTAACGCTTCCCCAAACCTGGTCAGAGGCAGGAGCAAAAAAGCCAGACATTGAAATTTAAGGCCAGCCTGGCCTTCAGAGTTAATGGGCGGGACCTCAGACCCAGCCTGTCCCCCTGGGTATCCCCTATCAGACCCTGGTGTAAGCCGTCCCTCTCTGCCACAGGTGTGGCAGCTGCCTGGGGAGGTACCAGGAAAACAGTGTAGCATGCGAGCTGGACTCTTTGCCTCAGGAAGGGGAAACGTGGGTGACCATGCCTCGGGGACAGGGACGTGTACCTGGGTAAACACAGACCTCATCACCTGAGCTATTCTCCCACCTTGTCACCAGGCAGGGCCTGGGCTCTGGCTGCAAGGGGTGGAGGTGAGTGGCACTGTCTAGGCTGAGCACGACCTCCGGAGAACTCCCCTTCCAAGGAGGTCTGTGAGCAGGTGACAGATAGTGGCTGTGCCCTGGTGACAGAAGCAGTGTACTTCGAAGTGCTCTGGCCTCTGTCTTATCAGCTCAGGCACTGGGCCCCACTCACCTTTATCAGAGAGTGGCGGTCACCAACTCTGTGTCCTGTTGAGGGAGGGCAGAGACTCAAACTGGCAGTGTGGTGGGGCATGTGGCTCCACTGGGGAAAGAGCAAGACCCTCCTCGTCTCAGGAATTAGAAAAGAAACACACCTTGGGACTTTCTCAGGAACAGTGAACCGTGTTATTTCTACCCTGTGGCCTGTTCCCCTCTCCTCCAACAGGCCCTGCTCTCTGGGCCCAGGCTCCCTGCAGAAGCCGTGCCTACCCTCCCTCTCCTGGGCTCTGGTCCTTGCAATTCCCAGAATAGTTCACTCCCGTTGGGGAGGAGAAGCCTGGAAGGGGCAGATAACACCAGCCCCAAGCACAGCAGGACTCTTAGAATTTCGGGGTTGCAAGGCATGTTACAAAGATGCCAGTTAAGTTCAAACTTCTCCTAAACAATAAATAAATGTTTAATATAAGTACGTACCATGCAACCTTTGGAACATTCTTATATGGAAAAAACCACCCGTTGTTTATCTGAAATGCAAATATAACTGGGCATCTTGTCACTTTATTGCTAAGTCTGGCAACCTATTAATATTGATGGTGTTTTATCAGCTTCCAGGGAGGATGGGGCAGGGAAGGGGCCATGGAATGGGTTCTGAAGAAGGTGTGCAGACAGAGGGGAGGCAGGACAGTGGGCAGGGGACAGTGAATAAAAAGACAGGGGAACCGACAGAGCTCCATCCTGGTGCAGCATGGTAGAAATTGTCTAGACAAGACCTGGATTTGGGGTCCAGCCACTCTGAGTCTCGGTTTCCTAATCTGTGAAATGGGGATGATACTGACAGTACCCCCAGCTTAGAGCCATGAGGATTGAAAGAGATGCCCACATAAGAAGGCCGTGTGGATCAGGCCTTTGGTGCTCCGTGGGATGATGGTGGGGTGACTTTGTGGCCGCTCCGTCACAGGCCTTTTGCTGCTCTCCTGGCCTCAACTCCAGGCCCCAGCTGGAGCCCTCATTTCCTCAGCAGCTGCATTCAGCAGTCCTGGGCCTTGCTCCCCACCCCTGGCAGCCACCACTTAAACTCTGTTCACTGCCAGGGCCCCTTTGCTAGTGTTCTCCCCACTCACTGGCTCCCCAGTTTGAAACAAAAATCAGAAGTGTCCCAACAGAGAGCAGGATAAACTAGAACAGACAGGCTCCAAACTCCCCTTCAGATCCCAGTTCACCGCTCGCCTGCTGGGTAACTTTGAGCAAGTCATTTAAGCTCTGCGATTCTCAGTTTCCTCCCTGGCAAAATGGGGTACTAATTGTCCCTTGCTCAAGGAGAGTAGCTGGAAGAGTAGCTGAGGCCATCCAGAAAAAAGCATGCAGCATGGTCCCCAGGCCATAGTAAGAGCCTGGTAAATGGCAGCTACTATTATTGTGTGAAAAGTGTCAGCCCTCCCTGACACACAGTCTCTTCTGCTTTGGAGAAGCTGCTCCGGGTAGTTTAGTGACTTCGAGAACATCCGCCAGAAGGCAGCCAGTCTTGGCAAGGCCTTAGAGGCCAAGAAGGAGAAGAGGAGGGGGCTGGCTTCTTATAGCTGCTTCTCATGTGCCCTTGTTAGCCAGTTCCATCCTACCACCTCACTCCATCACCACAGGGTATCGTTGACAACTGGGTGAGAAGAAGCAGGCAGGGTGACTTGGGACAGTTGCCCTGAAGAACGCTCCTGCCACGGCTCCACTACTTACTGAATCATTTAACAAGTGCTTGCTGAGCCCTGGCCTCAGAAAAGCACCGAGCTACCTGTGAAGAGCACTGGAATTTGAGGAAGCCCCAGCCCAGCCCTCCTGCAACCTGGGAGGCGATGAAGGGCTCCTGGTGCTGTGCAGACTCATATATGGTCACCTCCAGGGTAGTACTTCACTTGCTTCACTTTCAGCTGCTGCTCCCATTAAGTGGTGCATTTCAGACGCTCAAGAATCCATCCAAGGAAAAGTGTTGGGTCCTTATTATCTTGGACACTCATTGCTCACCAGCTTGTGTATTCCCCACACAACTGAATCCTGTGTTGGGGATGAATGTATGAGTGCCTGAGGAAAACCCAAAATTTCCCTGCCAATTTTCTTCCCTCTCGTTTGAGACATCTCTTCACCTCATTTCTCAGAGATACCAGTGAGTAAGTGAACGTGTATGCTGAGCAAGGAAATGGGCACGCCTTGAGCTCCTCTGTGGGGAAGAACACTGTCTTAGTGTCTGTAGCTCCCCGTTGAGCAGAGGGTAGCACACAGGAGTCGCTTGAAAAGTGTTTGTTGCAGTACTGGTGAATGCTGCTAGCTGAGAGCTGATTAGCAAGCTGGTGGATAGAAGGTCAACACAAACTGAAACAACGTAAGTAGTAAGTAGGCAGGATCTCCAAGTAAGCAGCAAATACAAAAGCATGATAGATAAATGGACCAGTGCTAATGGAATTAAGAGACAGGCCCATGGGTCCCTCTCTTGCAATACTGAGTTCCTTTGCCTATCAAACCCATTCTTTGCTCTGCCTGGGGACCATGAAAATCTGTGTTTCCCTTCAAGGGATGGTATCTTTCCAAAGACAAGGTAGAAAAAGTAAAATTCTGATTATTCTATCCCCTCCTCCATCCCTCTCTCTCTCCATTTCCATTCCATCCCCATCCACATCCTCATCCCCACCTCCATCCTCATTTCTACCTCCATCTCCATCCCCATCCCCATCTCCACCTCCATCTCCTCCCATCTCCATCTTCATCCCCATCCCCACCCCCACCTCCATCTCCATCCCCATCTCCGCTTCTATCTCCACCTCCATTACCACCTCCAGCCCCATCATCATCCCCATCCCTATCTCCACCTTCTTCCCATCCCCATCTCTACCTCCATCTCTCTCTCCATCTCCATCTTTATTCTCTGTCCCCAGCTCACAATTTCTCCAAGAAGCACCTTCTCTTTTTTCAAGATCTTCTCTTCCTCAGAATTAGTTATACAGTCTTTCTCATAAGAGTCAGGTGACTCCTCACCCTACAGATTTCCCTTTAACATCTTTACCCTCTTCTGGGTCACTTCACCCCTACCCACACCCTTATTTTGCTTTTCTGAGGTAATGTGTTTTTTGCCCATACGCCTACCCTGGGTCCCTATGTTTCATCAGATGGCTTCAACCATTATCAATAGTTTGCTATCCTTTGCTTAGCTATACTTCCACCTGCTGCCCACACTAACTCACTCAGCTATTATTAACATTTTTACCATTTTTTTTCCTGGTATATAATTTACACACATAGAAATGCAGAAATTTTAGTGAACCATATTAACAAATGGGTCCTTCATATACTCCACATCAACACCAGGAGACAGAACATTTTTGTCAACCTCAGAAAATCCTGGTGAGTTCCTCCCACATTTACAACCACTATTTGAGTTTTGTCATCTTAGATTAGTTCTTAGAACATTCAGGAATGGGAAGCCTACACTGTATGGACTATTTTATGTCTCACTTCTTTCATGCAGCATATTTATGATACTCATCCATGTTATGTGTGTGTCAAAAATGAGTTCCTTTTTGTTGTTTAATAATATTCTGTTGTGATGTTTATCTTTTCTTTTGCTCATGGACATTTGGGTTGTTTTCTGGATTGGGCTACTATGGCTAAAGCTGCTATGAATATCCATAAATAAGTCATGTATGGACACTGGTTTTCATTTCTCTTGAACCAAAAAAAATTTAGGAGTAGAATTGCTGGGTCGAAGGATAGGTACATGATTAACCTCACGGGAAACTGCCAAACCTTTTACCAAAGTGGCAGCATCATTACGCATTCCCACCAACAGTGTGTAGGAGCCCTCGTACCACATCTCGCTGTTTGATACTGTGAGGTTCTTACATTTTAATCATTCCAGTGAACGTGTGGCTGTATCTCATTGTAGTTTTGATTAGCACTTTTTTGTTGCTGAATATCCACTTCAAGCACTTTTTCATGGGTTTCTTTTCTTTAAAAATATTTTATTTATTTATTTTTTAGAGGAAAGGGGAGGGAGGGAGAAAGACAGGGAGAGAAACATCAATGTGTGGTTGCTTCTCATGCAACCCCCACCTGGGGACCTGCCCCAAAACACAGGCATGTGCCCTGACTGGGAATCGAACTGGCAACCCTTTGGTTCTCAGACTGGCACTCAATCTGCT